ATTCTGGTACAACTGAAACACTTGTTTAATAACTAGGGGGCACCATGATGCTACAGGGTGCATTTAGGTAGGTACTGTATATTAGAACATGGGCTTACTCAAAATGGCCACCAGAGTCCACAGTTGCAGTTACCTTTAGTCAATGCTGTAGCTCCTCTTTTTCCCTCTAGTTCCCCTCTCTAGTGGAAAGTCATGTGGCCCTTTCAGATCAATATATCATTAAAAAATAATTTTCTTAAATAAACTACTATTTGCATAGAGAATTTTAAAAAATAGTGCACACAGAGACTTTGTACAATTCTGCCTTCCAGTGCTTCCAATACATTCATTGCTTTTCTGACTGCTTCATGTGGATTTCCTGGCATAAGGAGTTGTGTTTTGTCTGCAATAATTTTGGCATTTTCCTAACTAGTTGAGATGACAGTTTTACTAAACAAATACTGGCCACTTGGAGAAGAAAAATGTAATACAACATTATTTTTGATCAACTGTACATTGCATTAAAATGTCTCTATTTTATCACAATACCGCTTACAGTGTTTTTAGTAACATAAACTAATTTTAACAGAAGTAAAACCAACAGCACAAAACTAATAATAAATAATATAATTAAATAAGAAAAAGCTGGAATATTGAAAGCCTCATGCTAAAGAATACCATAGCAACTTGGCAGGTTCAGTCCTGGCATAATTTCAGAAGTTGTGAATCGACTCATTTGTTTTCTGTAGTGTCTGCAATCAGTTATTCCTGTAACGGTGCCATCAGCTGCAGTCCAAACGGCATTGTTTTCAGTAACCAAGGTTAAACATCTGATTACCTACACTTAAAAATGGTTATGACATCAGAAGCAAGAAAACAAATAGGACAAAGAAGCTTAAATGGATACTATAATTAGTTTAATGTTTAAAATGCATGTTAAGTTTGATTTTTAAGCTAAATAATGTATCAGTGTGGGATTAAAGTTTCAAAAGCTTGTTTCTAGGTAAGGGTATAACTACAATTCATGGGTCTTTCATTACAAAACTTCAATGGGCCCCCCAGAAACCTCTCTCTTTGACACTTGGCAGTTTTAAATGAGACAATAGTGTAATTGATTTTAACATAAGGTATTCTTAAATCAAGTACCCAATTATTTTATAACTATAATGCAAATTTACTTAAACTGTGGGGCTCCCTCCCAACCCAAGGCCCCATAGCGACCACCTGGACTGCTATGGCTATAGTTATGCCACTGTTTTTAGGTATGTATTGCAATATACATATACATAAGAAGTAGACATATTAGTTCAGAATATATTTAAACTTTCTATCCTGATATGTAGTGCTTGGTGACAATTGTGTCTAAATGTTCTCTCTTAATGAAAATCTACCAGACATTCCTGTCTGATTGAAAACAAGGCACTTATTGTGTGTCTGTTATTTTATCTTGGCAGCTGTAGATGAGGGAGACAGCATGAATGCAGTGAAATATCAATATCCCTCTAGTGGCCAATCTACTCATCTGTTAATTTAGTTAAATAGAGGTTAGAGAGAAGATTGGAAAATGTGATAGCCACATTAAAAGATGATTTATCATAAACCTTTTAGTTAGAATTTGAAATTATTTCTCTCTAAAAAAATGGACCTTTTTTAGTTTTCCATGGAAGAGAAAACTCTAGCACTAACAAAGCAAACTCTAGTCACTCTAGCACTTACACAGGGCTGAGAAATGTAACAGCACTGAACCATTTACCAAGCACCACCAGTTTTACATGAGGGAAAAAGGAATGGATCACCTGTTTCTCCATACCTAGAAGTACTGAATATTTTCACCACTGCCAACTAAACTGAATAATTAAATAAATGTGAGTATGCACTGCTTGCATGTGGTGGGGAAATAAAGCACATCTGTTACTTTGCCTTGTTTAGCAAAGCTCAGGTTTGTTTTAGTCTGGTCAGACATAAAGAAGTTAGTCTAATGTCTGACAGAAAATAATATTTTTTCCATTCAATATGATGGCATGTGAAATATTTAAATGTGTTTATAGTCTCCACAAGTGCAACATTTCAATAGGGACACATTATTTAATATTTTATAGACAAGAAACAGATAGCACTTCTCCAGTACTTGAAAATACTGGTTTTATTAACAGCATTTACAGTATGCTTTTGAGGCTGCACAAATAGGAATTTCTTCTATTTTTTTAATGGGTGTCTTCTAGGTCAGTTCACATCTATGTTGACACTATGGGGTTGATTTACTAACCTTATAAACACGCCACGAACAAGTATACACCTCTGTAGTGTGTTCCCTCCCAGCATGATCTATTGGTGGAATCTAGACACCTTTGTAGTGTGTACACACCCAGCAGGTGTGTTGTGCAAAGCCCTGCATGTATTGCAAGGTGATGTTGTGTAAATTAGCTCTACATTGTGTTGCTTGTGTTGATGAATGAAGGAATGTAAATGCATGAACTAACCATTTTTGTCTAAACTGTGAAGCAGCATTATATATGCATCATGTGCATGATTTTTCCATATATGGCATTAGTGCAAATATGCTTTTAGAGACTTTTTGGTTGATAAATACGTTTTGCTGTGTACAAATCACACGCACCTAGTGTGTGCGTGTGTTTAGGTTAGTAAATCACCCCCTATTTCTTCTTTTCACACTAGCAACCAGTTTCCTTAATTTAATAACATTATTCATTATAGCAATACAAGGAATAAATAGCTGAGGACAAGGAACAGCACCCTTAACAACCCAATTCTATTTTGTACTGGCATGACCAAAGTCAAGACAATTCTGATTGGCTGCTAAGAGTTACTGTACCTTGCATTCATCACTTTTCCCTTTGCACTGCTTATTGAATAAGATTGAACATGATTTTTCTTGACCATGGAATATATTGATGTAAAGAATTATCCAGTGGCCATTCTGGACTATCTCACATTTAACTGTTAAAAACACCAGAGCACATGTCAACACATGTGACAATGCAATCACAAGCGGACTACAATTTTTTTAAAATTAGAAAGCTATTTTTTAATTGTTCTAGTCTATCATTGTACTAAGTAGTTCTTTAGCTCTTATTTCATTCAATATTGCTATTACATGGGGCAGACCCACCCAAACACTACATATTAATCCTAATAAATCTTTCTACTTTGTTTAAATACCTTCTATAACATTTCTTATTAGCATCTTCTTATGTTGCAAAAGTTCCAGAACTTAAGCTATGATGATCAAATAAAAATTTGGATTTCCTTTAAAAAAAAGGAAAACACATCTCTAGATGTCCAAAACAACTAGTACTATTTTTTCTTTAATAATGTAAGTTTGAATTGTTAAAATCAATCACAAAATCAAGCTGGCTGCTATAGCAACACCTCACCTTCTGAATGCCCTAGTTTTCATAAATCAATCCCAGTGATTTAGGTAGCTATATAGTCTGTGGTATCCTTTTTTCTACAAATGTGGCTGATTTGAACTAGCAGTTTGCCGTCTGACAAATAGAAATCATCTGAATTATGACCACTTACTTTGACTTTATACATATATTATTTTGATTATGATTATTATTAATTTTTTATTTTTGTTATTTTAAAGTGGAAGTAAAGTGATCTGTATGAAAAATTGCTGACAGACACAACATTGAAAAGGCACTAACTGAATGCTCTGAACTCCATTTAAGTACTCTTGACTGATGGTGTGAAGCTGCAATGTAACCACACCGCAGTAATGGAATATTGTCCAGCAAATGATGAAGGCTGTAATAACATTGGAAAGTCAGGAAATCACCAGCACTCAGTAGTAAAGATAAATATGTCCCATTTATTGGACAGAAAGTGTCACATACATCCAAATAAACCAACGTTTCGGGGCGGGGTCCCTTCCTCAAGGCAGAAAGATGTGACTTTACTACTGAGTGCTGGTGATTTCCTGACTTTCCTGTGTTTGCACGGCGCCATCCGTGGTATCTCATCACTATGAGATACCACTATTTTCATATCTGTCCGGGACTGCTGTGAGGAGTGCAGAGGGTCTCTCCATCTACTTACGGCTGTAATAACATAACAATTTCCTATTTGCAACTAAAAATTCCCTACACATGACTCTAGAGGTGCAGTGTTGCTGTTTGTATTATTGTGTTTCAGATTTTCATTATTCAGTTCTCTGTATGAGTAAATAAAAGCCTGCAAATTTTGTTTGTACTTCCTTTATGGTATTTGAATATATATGTTTTATCTGCATGCTATGAATTTCTTTCAATAGCTAAGCAAATTGAAGTTCAGAGCCCATCGAAGAGAGGAAGATAAAAAGACAGGCATAGGACTAATTAACTACAAAATACTAATGCAAAATAGGAAACCTAATCTCTTACACTTGTTCTTAAATTGTATATTATGCAAATGTATTCTTAAGTGGCTGCACTGTCTCCTATAGATGTGGTCTCAAAGCCCATTGTAATAAAGGTATTTCGACAAACTGCTAAAATGAATGCATATGTATCATGTGGAGTAGGGATGAGCAAATGTGCTGGAGTTTAATTCACAGGGGGACTGTGTGAAGTCCAAAAATTCCAAACTCAAATTTGAACCCCATTTAAGTCTATGGGACAAATATTCATAATCAATTCTGGTAATTTACAAGGCTAATAGACAGGGGTTTGTCAAGAAAGGGCATGGGAAGCAGGGCACCCTCATTGGGGACATTTAACAAAGCACATTTTTTAAAACACCATACAGCAGGGAGAGGGCTTGCATTTTAATGCAACGTTAAGGGTAAAATGGAAAAACAGCAATCCTTTCAATTACATGCTTGGGAGATACCTTAAATTGATTGTGGTGTTATGGAACAGCATGGTTTTCACATATGGCATCAGCTACACAGTATTCTGGCATCACATATAGTGGATGTGTAATTTTTTAAAACTTTTGCAAACTTTACTTGGCCTAAAGAAGAACTCCAGGATTTTAGAAGCTAACCCTTGTAGTGAGGGTACCTCACACTGCAAGAGTTTTGGTATAGAGGTTCCAATAAAAAAAATGCTCACCCAATTCTTGGTTCCACCTGGCTGATAGACCTGTCCCCACAGCCTCTTTTTCCCTGGGCTAGACCAAAATTAGCATTTAACCGTTGCTTTGAGGGGGTAGCCCCACTTCAAAGGTTAGTTTAATAAAAACCTGGATTTTTTTTGAAATACAGCATCAGCACCCCAATCTGATGCATTACAACTTGTAAAATAACATTTTAGGTAGTTGTGACTGTTACAAACTATGTTTTTATCCAGCAGTAATAGGCCTAAATTGAACAGTGGAAGTGGCAGCCACAAAAGAACTAAAAGCTATAGGAAAGTTTACTCTTAAAAAAAAGCTAAAGCCCTGCATTTTGTATAAATAGGCCAGTGGCAAAAATGTTTCATATTGTTTGTTAGCTTCTTTATTCAAAAAACCACACTGCATTGTCTTAAACAAACTTCAAACCTGCAACCCCACATTTGGTAATCATCCTACAATCCCTGTTCTGTATCCCCAATTATTCTCAAGATATTCCAAATACATACTTATGTGTTTGGTAGAAAATGGAAAACATTGGGACAGTACGTAAGCACTTTCATATGCAGCAAATAGAGAAAAGACAAGCGGGTTTTACTTACCAAAAATGTTAAATGTATATCTGAGCTACATTAGCTTCAAATATTGTTCAGTGACTGGACAATATATATGCAGCTTGGCTAGTCCACATTATAAGAGGAAGAGATGAGGCAGGTTTTATTTTAAAATTTACATTGTAGTGTATTATTTGAGAGAAAATAGCAACAAATAAAGGCTGTACAATGAAGCTCCAGTAAGCAGCAGGCATCATCTGCTATGCGGAGCTAAAAAAAAAAAAAAGCTGCAGTATAACCACCCCCCATTCCAGCTGTCTGAGACCCATGTTGTCCAAATTGTTTGCACAATAACCCCTCCAACATAATCTAGCAGAAAGCTCATGGGTAACCCCAGAGAGGCAAATTCCCAATTGCCATTTTTTTATTGCTGTCTAGTTTATTTTAAGTTCAATTGTTACTTTAATTTATATTTTATTTCTTTAGTTATTTTATTTTTCTTTGGCATTAATGCTGTGGTCAGGTAGCACACATCAGTGGCCAGGCAATGTCTTTAATTTGACAGCTTTGATAGCATATTCTTCCTCCTCCAAGGCACTTAGCAGTATGGATGAGGTTCGTGGGTTGGGTTTGTGATGACCTTTGCATGTTCGATGTTGCCACAAGCATCACATTTATAAGCAAGTTCACTCATGCACTCCATACTGCTTTGCCTGACCTGTGAACTATGGTCAGGTGAAACATTATGGCCAATAATGGGGCTTTGATAATGTGCTAGCCCCTCCCTATCACCATACTTTTGTCAGTGTGTGTTGGAGTTAGTATTAGACAACTGACAGCTTTGTGACAGGGTGACAAATTGTGCTACTTGTGCAATGCAAGTAGTTTTCTACCACAGGATATATGGGGATTTTAGCTGACAGCTGAATATAAAAACATGTTAAAATAAAAGGAAAAAACCCCACCTTCAATTCTATACCAGCCCTTTCAGGTCTGGTATGGATTTTAAGGCGTACCCATAACTCCTTCACATATGGAAGGAAGGTAGCACCTGGAGGCTCCCTTTATTATAAAAGGAGGCTTTCAGATTTCAATAAGCCACCCTGCTCACAGACTCTCACTACTGGGCCAAATTTGAGGGGAAGAAACCCTTGTCCTCATTAACGGGAGACATAATGCTTTGCCAGGGGTGGGGGTTGAGAGCATGTGGCCTGGTATGGTTGAGGAGGGGGAAGTGCACTCCCCCTTCTTACTTGCAAGGCTGCATGCACAAAAAGGGTTTTTTTTTTGCATGGTGTTGCACCTTAAAATGTTTACCAGATGTAAAGGGCCTGGTAGGAAATTTAGGAGGACCCTATATACACTATCCTGATCTATTTGGAGTGATGGTAGGAAATTTAGGAGGACCCTATATACACTATCCTGATCTATTTGGAGTGATATAGACCTATCTGAAAACCTTATCTGAAGGTGAGCATCTCACTGAGGGGGTGAGAAAAGATAATAATCACCAGCACTCACTTGTAATGTGCAAAAAGGATAGCACCTTTATTGATACGTCACATGCATGAAGAAGCCAATGTTTCGGGGCTGTGCAGGATCACATTAGGGCGACATTGTGGTCACCATCCTCTTGTTTATAAACATATTGTTTATTTGTAATTTTGCTGAGAATAAGCTTTTTTTAACCATTTTGAATACAATAAAGACTGTTTCTTTTTGAAAAAAAAGGCTGGCTAATAATCACAACTGCACTGAATATTACAGGGTGTATAGAGAGGAACGACTCTAATGGATGGGAAAGGCTGTTTTTGATGTACAGAGAGAAACAGATTAGGTCTTTATCAAGGAGTAGGAGTGCAAACATCTCTGAAACAAGAAAGAAAGGGCAGACACATGATGCTGCTGAGAGCCAAATTCCAGACCCAGACTTTTTCCCACCCACTATCAGTATTATTCACAAAAGGATGAAGGCAGGAGAAGGAAACAATCTAGGCCAAATTAGCTGATTTGGAAACATTCTCCAATTCAGCTCACTTTCCAGTTCAACTATTTTGGCCTAGATTGTTTACTTATCCTAAGTTCTCCAAACTCCTCACCCTTTTGTGAATGACCCTGTATGTGTGTATGTTTTTTAACATTAGTTACATACATTTTTGTATTATTTTAATTTTGTATTTCTTACTTTTTTTCCTTGTAAGGCCATGCCTACTTTGGTCAAACATCAAGGGCAGGGATGGCAATGTTGTAAGCTATCATATCCATTGACTATTGGGTGTCAAGAATGTACCACTGGCTGAAGGTGCCCAATATGCACTTGAGGTACCAGCCTGCCCTGATGCACATGAAATGTTAGAGAGGGTCTTCAGCCCAGCATGGGGGATTTGTGACTGAGAATGTGACATTTAATAACCTGTGATTAGGGTGTGCAAAATGTTTGTTGCACATTGTTTTTATATATTTTTTTCAAAGCATGCAGTGAGGTGCTTCAACAAAGAGGGCAGCTCTTGAATGACTTTTAGCAACAAACACCAGACAGCTGGCAAACAGCAGGGCATTTTTAATGAAGGAGAATTAATATAGAGACAAAGAGCTCAGGCTGGGGCGTTTGTGCTAAAATTAAGATAACGCAGAGGATACACCGTTGTAAAATTAGCTAGTAGGATTGAGCAAATGTTTCTGGGTTTTATTCACAAAGCATTTGACAAATCAATTCTGCCCATTTTCAGTGCTAATTGGCAAGGGATTGTCAAATAAAAGGCATGGGGAGCTGGGCAATGCATTGGGTGACATCTACTAATGCAAAGAATTTAAGGAATACTGTTTTTTTATGCAACTTTGAGGGTCATGTGGGAAATAACACCGATCTCTTTAATTACATGACTGGGGCCGGCATGTAAGCTGTAAATAGTGATGCGGGACAGGATGACATTAGTGACACTATATTCTGGCATCACATATTTAGCATGTGTAATAGATTTACATCTTAGATTTGCATAACAGATTTACTTTTACATTATTCCTTGACTTAAATACAGCAACCCAATATAATGCATTTCAAGTTGAAAAAAGTATTTTTAAGTAGTTTTTTCTGCAACACCTGTGTTTTTTTATCTAGCAGTAATAGCTAGAATTGGTCAGTGGAAGCAGCAGCCATAACAGATCTAAATGCTATTGATAGGTTTACACTTCCAAACAAAAAAGCTAAAGCTCTCACGTTTGTGCCAATTGCCAAACAGTGGCAAATAGTTTCACAGTTCAGCATTGAAGCAACTGGCATAGACTGCATTTTGAAAAGGACACAATGTGTGCAGCAGTTCAGGCCAAGTATACATAATAAAGCTTATTTTTACACTAATAATGGAATAAACATTGTGCACACTGCTTTGCATTATTTTAACAAACGTTTGTAGACTGCATTTGCTTAACCACATCCCTCATTTAGCATTGAAGGAGCAAAAAGCAATTTAGTGTATGCTTTTGCATTATTAAAGTATAAGGAATATAGTATACATTGCATAGGAAGTATTTCAACAATCTCTTATAGTCCTCACTGGCTAACCACATCCCTCAATTAGCTTTTTAGGACAAAACAAAAAAACAATTTAAAGCTTATAGTTGTTAGACTAAATAGAAGTTTTGTAGTACACATACTGTAAATGCAGTATTTCTACAATCTCTTGTAGGCCTCATTGGCTAAACAACATCTTTCAGTTTGCTTTGCAGGAACAAAAAACAATTTAAAACTAATATTTTTCTAATTAAAATAGAAGTATTATGGTCTACACTGCATATGCATTATTTCAAACAAATCTTATTGACCTAATTGGCTAAACCACATCCCTAATTTAGCTTTTAAGGGACAAACAAGTGAAAATATATATTTTTTCAGATTTAATTTAAAGTAATATGGTAAAGAAACACTGCCCAAGTATTATTTTACAAAAATCACTTGTAGGCATTATTAGCTAAATAACATCCCTCATTTTGCTTTGGATGAACATATAACTATTTATTTTTTAAATCTATTTTTCACATTTTAAACAGTGTCCACAGTCAGTTTTTATTAAAAACCAACAAACATAGTTCTTACATAGTATTTAAAAAAAATGGGGCCATATTTTACACAGGAGATACACCAGGCGTATAATTAAAAGAGTGAAGGAGTACAATTGGGAGACAGTTGTCATCCCTTAACAGGAAATATCTGAACAAAGACCTTCATAGCAGCAGCGCCACATATTACTTTAATGAAAGCTGCAGATATAGAAAGATTGAAAACTGCTTTTGAAACTACATTAACATGTTAAAGTTAATATGATATTTTGGTGATTGGGTGTAATTCTACATTAACAACTGCTTTGTAATGTTTGTAAACAGCAGTGGGCAATCTGCTGACTCAAAGTGCGGATAAATTACAAGTGCACTGAATTAAAACATTACAAATTTTTAGGGACTGCCGGATGAAAATTGTGCCAAACTGACTTGATGGCAATTCAACAAACTTGTATCTATAATATAAATTATCCTAAATAAAATGTTCTGCGCAGTGGGCCATCATATATTTTGTTTAACATGACAGTTCCATATTCCCTCCTAACTTGGATATGTTTGGTGTTCAGATAGAGCCAAAACAGATTTATTAGTCTGCTACATGATTCATCCATTGCCACAAGAATGATGATACAACTTAACATTAAACATTATTTGTCAACACAAAATTTTTTCCATTAATATAATTGTTAGTAAAAGAAACCTTTTTACAGCAAAAGTTAAAAGAAATGCAATGATGCATTTGATTCATTGCACTAAACATCATTCAGCAGCAAGTGTTCTAAAGAGAACCAAGCAAATAAAGTATCAAATGTAAGTTATATTGTGACACCCTTGAGTATTTCTGTGTATAAATAGCCACCTGAAGTAACTATGTATTGCTAACTAGGAAACCATGTACACTATAAAACAAGAGCTCTGTCAATAAAAACATAAAATATAGCCCTGTTCGCTCAGTAACTGGAAACTAGGTTGTTATATATTACACTAATAAAAAAAACTGCAAATAAGATCATAATAATGAGAATAGGTTACGAATAATTTCCACTGTCCATCACTTAATAACTGCAACTTTCAGATCAGGTATGTTTAGTGCAGTTATTAAAGCCCAATCTGCCCAGGATGCCTCATAAATCCACATCTAGTTTACTTCTACAAGTATAGTAAAACTGTTATAAACTTTGGTAAGTCTGACTGAGCTAATGATAAAAAATGCATAAGGATTAACCTTTAATGAAAACAACATGCCATTAAAATGAGTAGATCCATGTAGTTGATGCTATATGCACAATCAACACAAGTAACGCAGCAAACATAGCAACCTGTATGGGCGAAGTTAAACATATTAGAAATGATCCACCTATAGCTAGGCAAAATAAAAAACGTAGCGGAGAGCCGGATAATACTTTGTATTCCAAAAGTAGGTCAAAAATTAAATGTATGTACACCAATGCTAGAAGCCTAGCAAATAAAGTAGAAGAGCTAGAAATTATGATACTCGAAGAAAACTTCGATATAGTGGGAATAACGGAAACCTGGCTAGATAACACACATGACTGGGCCACTAACATAGAAGGGTACAACGTGTTCAGGAGGGACTAGTGTGGGAGAAGGGGGGGAGTTTGCATTTATGTTAAAAATTATTTAAGGGTGCACATAAGGGATGACATAGCGTTAAATGGCGGGGAAGACGTGAAATCGATGTGGCTAGAACTTGACAGGTCGGAGACTAGCCGTAAACTTATTGTTGGAGTCTGTTATAAACCTCCAGATATAGGGGGGAGGAGGAGGCTCAGCTATAATGCCAGATAGAAACAGCTGGGAAGCAGGGTAATGTCATTGTTATGGGTGACTTCAATTATCCAGACATAAACTGGGCAAGCGGAACAAAGGCAGCCCGTTTTCTGAACATGTTGCGAGACAACTTCATGGATCAGATGGGGGAGGTCCCAACTAGGAAAAATGCAATCCTAGATTTAATCATTTCTAATAATGGGGAGTTAATTGAGGATATTGCAATTGGGGAGACACTGGGTAACAGTGATCACTATGTGATTACCTTCAATATTGGGTATAGAAACGGGAAGAGGGCTGGTCGGACAAAAACCCTAAACTTCAGGAAGGCTAA